GCGGGTTGAGGCTGCGGTGGCCGGGAGCGGCCATTGCACTCCAGTCTGGGCGACAGGGTGAGACTCCAACTGGGAAAAAAAAAAATTTTTTTTTGGTTTTCAACTGTACATTGCTAGTGTGTAGAAATATGATTGATTTTTGTATGTTGACCTTGTGTCCTGTGAAAAGGACTAAAAGACTTAACTAGTTCTAGGAGTTTTTTTGTAGATTCTTTGGGATTGTCTTTGTAAATAATCATGACGTATGAATAGGGACAGTAGACTTCTCTGTTATATTCCCTTATCCTTTAAAGTCCTGTGGAGTCTGTAGTAATATTCCATTTTTTATTCCTGATAGAAGTAATTTGTGTGTGCATTCACGCACTCTGGACTGCACGTGCTTGCTTGCTGCTTGTGCCCTTGCTTTCTCTGCCCCGTCTCCCCCATCTCTCTCTTTCTCTCTCTCTCTCTACCTGTCTCCCCCCTCTCTCTCTCTCTCTTCCCCCTCTCCCTCCACCTCTCCTTCTCTCCTTCTTTCCCTCTCCCCATTTCTCCCCTCAAAGTATTGAAAGCAGTGCTCCCTCTCCTCCTTTCCTCCGCTCCATTTCCCTGTGCTCCATTTCCCTGTAAGACTTGTTAGTGGTTTATCATTTTATTGACCTTTTCAAAGAACCAACTTTTGATTTCATTGATTTTTTTTTTTTTTTTTTTGGCCTATAGATGTTTCTCTTTTCAGTTTTATTGATTTCTGGTTTTCATTTGCCTTTTCATTTTCTGCTTGCTTTTGGTTAATTTTGCCTTTTTTAATGTTACGATGGAAGCTTAGATTACTTATTTTAGAGTTTTCTTATATTCTAATATGGCATTTAATGCTTTAAATCTTCCTCTAAATTTTGCTTTAACTGCATCCCACAAATTTTGATATGTTGCATTTTCAGTTCAAAATATTTTCTAACTTTCCTTGAGACTTTCTGTTTACCCATGAATTATTGTGAAACATCTATGGAGACCTTCCTGTTATTGTTCTGTCATTGATTTCTAATTTAATTCCATTGTGGTCAGAGAGCATACTTTGTACGATTTCAGTTTTCAAAAATTTGTGAAGGTTTGTTTTATGATGTAGGATATGGTCTGTCTTGGTGATTGTTCTGTGTACACTGGAAAAGAATGTGTATTCTGCTACTGGGGAGGCAGTCTGCAAGTGTCAGTTATACCCAGGGATTTTCATGGTGTTTTTAGTTACGCATCCTTGCTAGTTTTCTGTTTACTCCTTGCTATCTATTACTGAGAGGAGTGGTGAGGTCTCCAACTGCAATTTTGGATTTGTCTTTCTCCTTGTAGTTCTGTCATTTGTGCTTCATGTGTTTTGAAGTTCTATTGTTAGGTACATATACATTTAGGATTTAGTTTTCATCATGAGTTGACTCTTATCATTATATAATATATTTCTTCTTATCCCTGGTACTTTTTTTGCTCTAAATCTGATTTATCAGCTAGTAATCTAGTCACTCTTACTTTCTTTTCCTTTTTTTTTTTTTTTTTTGAGTTGGAGTCTCACTCTGTCACCCAGACTGGAGTGCAGTGGCTGCTCCCGGCCACGGCAGCTTTGACCTGCTGGGCTCCGG